GAAATCAAAATTGAAACACAGTCACACACTTAGTTGTAAAACAAAGCAAAGAACAAACTCCTTGCCATAAATAAACCTGTATTTATATTTGCATCTCATCTGGCTTTGGGGATTGAGACATAGAAGAGGACTTGTTCTGTGTTCAGAAGGAACACACCAGGTTGACTGGAAACAAACAGCACCAGAGAAACCAGGGCCAGCAGCCCAAGAACCTCAGCTCATGGATCTGTGAATGGCTGGACTGCAAGCCTGTGGCACATAATAAGCAGGGCCGCCTGGCACGTGGGGCGGTGACCCAGCCATAGCGCCTGCCTGTTAAATGAACAGTCTTCGTTCTCCTTCAGCTTTGACATCTTAGCACTCCAGCATCTATGCTCCATCAGGGACAGAACATCTGAAAGAGAGGGACGAAACTCATGAGGCCAGTTGACGAGACCTTGAATTTAAGCACTGGAAATGTGGAATTTCAGCTCAACTGCTAGAATGCTGTTAAGAAGCAGACTGTGTCTGTTAACTTTCCTTTAGAAGCCTCTAGCATCTATAAGTCGATCACGTTAATTATGAAATTCAGATCTCAAAAGCTTCGAGGTCTTTATTTGCAGAGACATAAGTTAATAGAGGGAAGGAGACTGCAGCGTCAGTAGCCTGTTTAACATACTGACCTATTCTAATCATTGACTGCTCTGAGTGGGTTGGCTTTGTTTCGATTTTAAAGGCTACTCCACATTTCTGGTAAACCACAAGGTAAAGGCTGGTCTCTGAGAAGCAGATGTTTTGTCAGTTCTGAGGCCTTGTGGCTTTCCATAGAGAAGTAACAGTAGAGGCCACACGAAGCTTTTACTTCCTTTTTTTTAAAAAAAGTGGGGCCAATGGTGCTTTGCACTTGATAGCATAGTGCTTGATATACATTGACAGCAGTGGTCTGTGTTTACCACCAGATGTCAGATCTATATTTCTGGAAGTAGTTTGAAATGTCTATAAGACAAGTGTTCCCCATGGGCTTAGCCTTAGAAATAGTGGTGAGAATCTTGGATGGTATTTAGAGTCAAAGGAACAGTGGAAATCGTATTAGGAGGGAGTTTGGAGAACAGGAACCCTGAAACAAAGCCTTGGGAAGACTCAGATTTCTAGAGGTTGAGTAGGTTACGGTTAAGGTGAAATGAGGAAAAAGAGCAGAGTTTGGTGTCATGGAGCCAATAAGATCAAAACTCTGTTACAAAGCTCAAAACGGACCATTTGGCACTGAACAATCTGGTTCCACCATGACCACCCTAGCCCAGGCCCCTGTCATCTCATGGTTTCATTTGTGTATTAAACACTTGGGAGTTCACCCGCCTAATGCTCTAGGGAGGCAGGGTGGTGTAAGATTCCATTCCTGTCTTTTTAGAGCTTATAGACTATGAGTATACAAGCCCTTAGACAAATAAACACCAAGTGAATCAGGGGGATAGTCGGGGAAGTCTCATTTTGGAGTGGGAGGGGTTTGACCTTAAGTTTGAGGTGAACTGGAGTAGGCTGTGGAGAGAAGTATTAAAGGTACCGCAGAGTCAAAGCTCAGACCAGGATGGTGGCGGTGTTGGCCAGGTGGCATTAGTGGATGTCTGTGTGGTAAGGTAGGTTGGGGCGGGGTCCTGGTGCACCTGCATTTGAGAATGCAGGTCTAAGGGGTTAAATACCACCTCCACCCCACCCCGGAAGAGGTCCAAGAGCTAGTTTTAGTGTGCAAGGGCACGATGGTACAGGACTCATGATGGAATCTGTGGTTTTGACAGTTCCTTGGCAGAGCCTCGTAAGTGGCCTGATGGGAGAGATGGATTCATAGACTGGCCGGTAGGAAAGAAGGGGAAGGGTCTGGCCTGGGACTGGTGCTTGTATGGGTGGGAAAGGAGGGCACGGAAGACCTTTCTTTGGAAGAACAGCGAGGACTGGATTTGATTTGGGGGAAAACAGGAAGGGCAGAGTTACAGATGACGGTGCCATGACTGAAAATGGATTCTCTGTAGACCCTTATTAGCCCTCTTTACTGAGACTGTGGCAGTGACGAGGGGCATGGATTTCAGAGCCCGGGTTTGGAATTCTGCCTTTACCACAGAGTTGGGTGACCTTGGTCTGCCTGCTTAACTGACGGTGCCTCAGCTTCCTTGTTGGTAAAATGGAGATGATAACAGTACTTCCTTGTAGGGTATGAGGACTCTGAGGCTCTGGGCACACAGTAGTTATTTAATAGCTATGTTCAGAGGATTATAACAGGTAGAAGACTCGGGGTCTGACCTCAAGGTTGTGGAAGCTCCTTCCCTGCTCTTCCAGATTCAGCCTTTCTCAGGTGCTTCTCTTCGCTCCTTCTCCCAGTGAATCTGTTGTGTGTCCTCTGGCATCAGGCCCTCCTTTGGATTGCATGACCCTGCTCTTCTACCACCTGACTCATGCCAGACCCCACCTTAGCTTTCTGTAGACTTTGTTACCACTTCCCACCCTGCCCCTGTCTTTTCTGGAGGCCCTTCTCACCCTTCCACACCTGCAAATGCTCTGCTCTTCGAGATCTGACCTCGGTGACCGTGACAGTCTGTCCCTCCTCTCGGCTTCCTTGCAGCACTGGTGAGCTGCCATTCATTGCTTCATGCTTGGCTTCCCCGAGACTCAGATCATTCTCTAATCTAATAACTTCGCACACATTTATCTTACCTGCTAAAAATGAATTCATTTGAATAAAGGTCCATGACTGCCTGTTTGTTGTTATTTAAAAATTTCCTCCCAGTGTTAGGTGCTCACTAAATACTCAACTCCTGAAAGTAGATTAAGAAGTGTTCATTCCGAAGGCTGAGGTTGAGTTCAGGTTATCCCCAGCTCACACTGGGTTCCCTCACCAGCCTCTCCAACTGCATCGCAGCCAGTCTGTCCCTCAGGCACGTCACAGGCCCACCCGACCCCTGGTGCAGTTGCTATCTAGTCTTTTCATGGAACAGTCATGCCGGCACTTCTCTGCTGGCCTCACAGTGAGGACCATAACTCTTCAGCCTGGCCTAGAAGGCTCTGCAGCCTGGCCCTCTCCTGCCTCTTCGGTCTTATCTGTGGCACTGCACTTTGCACACCCTGTCCTCCTTGCAGTTCCCAGAATGTTCCCTGTGCCCTGCTGGCAGTCCACTGGAGTCCACCGGCCAGGCTCGTGCTTTTCCTGTCACTTCCTCTAAAACACCCACTGAGTGAGTGCTTCCTCTTCCTGGCCCCACCTCCAGCCCTTTGTTCCTCTGAGGCTTCTCTTTGGGGCCCAGAGATTGATGTGTTTACCTGTTTGCCAGCCTGGCTCCTTGAGGGCAGGCGGTCTCATTCTCTCCAGATCCCAAAGGAGATCCTCTGCACTTAGCCCAGGAGGCGTGCTGAGCATGCGGATGACACTTTTTTCAAGTAACAAGGGTCACTTTCTTCAGACTAGAAAAGAACTGGCTTCTTTCTTGTGCCTTGACAGATTGTTCCTTTTGAACTATACGAATTATGTTGAAAACTGACAGTGATGAGTCATATCTTAGAAAGGGGTGAATTCTGAAAATGCAGAGCCTCCAGGAATGGAGTAGGAGGTTGCAGATCGGTCTTGCAGGCCAACTCTGGCTCTTCGCTGAATTTGCCCGGCTGGTCTCCACCGCGGGGAGTGGGAGGGACGCTCCTCCCGGTGGGCAGGTGATTTATTGGCTGGGAAGCTTCCGCGGTGACTTAGTTGTGAAACGGCGCCCTGCGAGGTGCCGGCTAACGCCTGGGCGGGAGGGACCGCGGGAGTCCTCGGGACCAGCCCCCAGCTTCGCAGCCCGTGGGGCGACGGGCGTGCGCCGCTGACTCGGCCCGCCCGGGGGAAGCCCAAGGACTAAGCGGCCCGGGAGGGGCCCCGAGCGCCCTCTCCTCGTGCCCGCCGTGGCGGGGAGGAAGTTTCCGTGCTCCGCCGCCCGGGTCGGATCCCGCTGTTTGGAAGGAGGAAACCGAGGTGCGGAGCCTCGGGGCGGGGGCCAGAGCCGGGCCGGCGGGCGGCGCGGCGATCCAGGCCGCCTTTTGCAGCCGCCCGCGGCCGCGCCGGGCTCTGCGCGCCGCTCCGGCCTCCTCCCCCGGCGGCGGCGGCGGCGGCCTCAGCCCCGCGCCCCCCGCGCCCCGCGCCGCGCGGCCCCGCCGCGGTCACACGCCGAGCCGCCCGGCCGCCTCCGCCCTGCGCTTTGTGGAGCACGAGCCGAGTGACAGGCGCGGCCTCTCGCCGCCGGGACCCGGAGCGCGGCCCGCCGCGGCCCCGGTACCTGTGGCTGCCGGCGTCGGCGCGCGGGACCCGGCTTCGCGCCCTAGGTGGGGGCCGGGGAGCCTGCAGGGCCCGGCTGCGGCGGGGAGGGGCTGCCCGGGAGGAATGGGGCAAAGTGAAAGTCCCGGACCGCTGAGGAAACGGGGGGCGGAGGGCGGGGGGTTCTGGTGGCTCGGTTTCTGGTACTCAAGACGGCGGGGCAGGTTGGCGGGGTCGGGCCCCGGTGGTCTTCCGCCGCGCTGGTGAATTCCTGGGATTAACGAAAGGCCTTTTAACCCTCTAGGGTGCCCTTCTGGAGGAAAGTCTCCAGATTTGGTTGTGTTTCCCTCTTTTGCTCGACACTCTGGGAAGCCTCGTTTTCAGGTGGAGACCACTTGTGCTGCTTGATTAAGAAACCCGGAGCGTATTTATACCTCCGTTGTTTATACCTCCGCGAACCGCTGCGGAGACTGGAGGCACTCAGGGCACAGATCGCCTGTGGCCTCAGACACAGGATGTCCTCCTAGACCTGTCTGGTGTGCGGGACCGGGGACCGGATGGAGGCCGTCGGGGGCCTGCGGGGCGGGGGTCCCAGCTGTGCTGCCGAAATGTTCCCCCAGCGGAGTCAACATTCCCGCTCAGACTTTGCGGTTGTTATTCTGCTGATTGCAGATTGCTTTGCTTTGCTTTGCTGACATCCTGTTTTGTTTTTGGTTTTTACATCCCATTTGTTGTTTCTTCTTTATCACAGAAACGCTTCGTTAAGGGGCTTAGGCAGTACGGCAAGAACTTCTTCAGAATTAGAAAGGAGCTGCTTCCCAATAAGGAAACAGTGAGTACAATTGGACTTTATGTAACTTGATTTTTTTCCTCTTCTCTCTTGCTGCTTCTCCGCACTTGATCTTATGAAATGGTTTCCTTTAACCCTGTGTTGTGTTCGGACTGAGGCGGGTCTCTAGGATCCTATTCGTTTTGCTTCACTTTCGGTTTTCGCTTAGGATTCTAGATAGTAAAGTGACATTATGCTTACCCTCACCCCACCCCCAAGAAAGTGGATTTCGGAACCGAAGAATCTCTGGCATCAGAGGGTTAGTGGGGGGAGGGGAGCCTCTGGTGTTGGGAAGTTAACATCTAATTTTAAATACAGTGGCTGAAATAGAAGATACCATTTATCACGAGTTTGGATTTGGTTATTATCAAAAGTCATCAACAAATAATAGAGCTAAGAGGTTTGTAGCTCAGTATACTTTAAATTCTCTTGGGACTTTTATTTAGTTAAGGTTGCTGTGTTTTAAAGAGTAGCTTTAACTAATTTTTTCAGTACTAAAAGTTTGTACTTTTTTTTTAAGTGTGTACTTTTTATTGGAGAGATATCAAGAGTCCTATAAATTGCTTGAAATGAGGCTTAAAAAAATTCCTTTGATACTAAACAAAGCTGAGAGATCTAATGACGGCTCTTGCTAAATTTGGGGGGAAGCGGGTTTGCTGAGAAATCTTGGGAGTGAGGTTACATGAAGAGAATGCCACTCCAATTAAAATAAATAAATAATTTTAAAATTTAAAAAAAAAAAAGGCCAGTAGGAGATTCATTCAGTCTTACCTGACTGTACCTGTAATTTCCTACAGGTGGTATTGGAGGAGAGTGGGGGAGCCCTTGGCTTAGGCCAAGGAGTAGGGGAGACAGGAAGTGGAGTAGGACCAGCCTCATTACAGTGTCTGTGGGCTCTAGGAGTGACTTCAGGACCTGGGGATGGGAGGTGAATATTTAGGTTTTGAGCCGCTGCTTTCCCCAAACCCTCCATCCCCACCAGCTGCTTTTGGGAGTGGAAGGGAGAGACTGTTCTGGGAGCAACATCCATGCCAAAAGCTGTGGGGCAGTTTGGATTTTGGTTTCCTAGTTGGGTATTGTTTATTGATTTCCTCTTATTCAATTTTCATTCTTTTCAGGTTTTTTTTTTTTTTAAAACAAAATGTTTCTGGACATGTTTTCTGTACAACACCTTATAAACAGAGCTCATAATAGGGAAGAAGGTTCTGAGATTTCAAGTATAGCCTCATGTATACATTTGTGGTTTGCATTCATCAATCATAATTAGATGAAACTTTCAATATTTATTATACATCTGAATATGCTGAGATAGGTCATTTTGAGGATAGTGAAAAAAAGCTGTTTATGGACAATAAGATATGGGATGAATCTATATAATCAACTTTACATTTTACTTTTTCCAGAACAGATTGGAAAAAGGTATTTAATGTGGAGCTATGAATAAAATACTTTTATGTTTTCTGAGGATTTCAATTATTTGAAGTAAAAACTAAAAAGACTTTACCCAAGTACAGGAATTTTGGTTTGGCCAGATTGTAATGAAAATGAGAGAGATCATTGAGGAGATAGGTCTGATCTGATGTGAAGGCCCAGATTATGACCTCTCAGCCTGAGTTTTCTCTCTCCTTGTGCTCTGTGAAAAAAGTTTCAAACCATGAAAAATTTGATATGTTATTCCTTGACAATTATTTTATTTCTCTCTTAGAAAATAAACTTAATAGTAAGATTAGGCATTGAATCTAAAATCTAGTGTCTAACATTTGGAAATGCCAAACAATTTGCATTTTATCTCCCTTGAGGAAAGGGAGCTGAATGACCTTTAACCTAGGGTAGGGTCTTCTGATCTGTGTTTCCTCTTGCTTTTGGTTGGCCCTTCTTACTGGTGATGTCTGACTCAGAGTTCTGAGAACAGCCACCTTCTGAGCAGGCTTTCTGGTCTTCTCCAGGTGCCTCTTTCCTGAGACCCTTCCCCATCACTTCTCTGCCACCCCTGTTTCCTAGCCATGTGGCTCCTCACCTCCCACCTCCTCTGGCACCCTGCAGTCTTCTGTTTCCAGCCTTTTCCTCACTGCACCATCATGGGAGAGTCATTTGCAGCACTGGAGAATGGATTAGGGCTGACATTGGCAAACCGTTCCTAGTGTTCTGCTGGCTTTTGCATGCAATTAGAGGTTGGTAGTAGGATAAATGTAAGTATTCTAGTCAGCTGCAAGAATCACTCATCTTGTGTTTTCCTTAGTTATCAACATGGCCACACTAGTCAGCTAATCATTCACAACACAGAGGGAAGGGAGGGCAAAGGTTATTTTTTCATTTTTGCTGCAGTAGAAGAGAAAATTTTCAGGTACATGTTCTTGATTCAAAACTAGCTAGGTAGAAATCTCCATATGGTCATATCTTTTAAAAAAATATGTGTGTGTGTGTAGCGAATCTTGCTAATCTAGAATACTTTCCATATTCTGTTCTATTTACCAGAATTATTAACTCATTTCTTTGCTATTCTCAACTGACTGGAAACTTCAGAAGGGTGTCAGCATCCAAAAGAACACGCCTGATTGGGCATGGGCTCAGGATCAGCAGACCTCTGTTCTATTCTTGGCCTTACTGGTAACTATAGTACTTGATGATCTCTTTTAACTGAGCAGTCTGCTTTGAGTTGTTCATTGGGAGGTTCAAATCCTGTGAGGTCAAATCCTCACCAGGCCTGGGAAATTATTTTTTCTAAAATGGTGTGTCTTTGCATGAGAATTTTATAGGCATTCTATTCTCTATAAAATGTTTGCACATCTTTGGCTTTTGCTGTGCCAGAGACCAGTCATCTGCCACTTACCTGCCACAGGGCCTTATGCAGATTACTCAGCCTCTCTGTCCTTGATTGTCTGTGTCTGTAAAATGGGCTGATCCTTCTACCCCCTAGGATTGTTCTGAGAATTTAAATGAGATAATGTCTATGAAGCGTGCATGAAAACACTTGAAAACAATTGTTCTTCCTGTCTACCCCCAATTAAAGTGGCTAAATGCTATGAGAAGTACAGAATTGTTTTCTGCTTATCAGTATATTGAACCTATATAAAATGAAGTTACCTGTTTTTCATTCATCTGTGTTACAGAAAAGCGCTTTAATTGAAAACCAGTGTGTGGATGGCACAACCTGGTTTAAAGGGCGTAAGCCCTCTGTCTTGGAGCTTCATTGAGGAGAGTTCCATCCCCATCAGGCCATTCAGTGCCGTCACGCATTCAGAGCTTGCTGGTGGTCATGACCAGCTTCCCCAGCTCTTTTGGTTTCTGGTGTTGATTACTCAGGAGCTAAGTCTGGCTTTTCTCTGAATACTGTTGCCCACTGAAGTGGGAATAGTGGCTGTGATTGTGGAAAACCAACTGTTTATAGAGGCTTAGTTGAGTGGGTGTTACATGTTAACCTCATGGTTCGCAGGAGAATAATTGCAGTAGTTTAGCATCACAGTTGTGCAAATATCCTATAGCTTCTTATCTTTCTTCCAGTTCTTGCTTTCTCTAGAACTGTTTGCCTCCCTCAGTGTGCTTATGAGATGTATATAAGCAGTAAAATATGGTAAGGAATTTTTGCTGAGCATCTCAGTTTCCCCTTGGCTGTATGCCTCTTCTATCTCAAGATACTATTTGGTCTAAATCACATCAGAGTCTAGGGTATGAGTACGTTTGTATAAATCACAGCAAGTGCCCCACGGCTGAGCTTCTGAGAAATGGATGGGGAACGAGGCCTCTTGGGTTCTGCTTTAAGCACTGCCGCGTCATCATTGGATTGATGAATCACATGATATTTGATGCTAAGGTAATGACTGAAGAAACAAGAGACCTAATAGAATTGAATCTTAATTACTAGGAGAAGAATCCATGTTGTATATAATACAAAATAATAGGTGGTCCCAAAATAATTTTTTGTTTGATTTTTACACATTGTAGTTTTCTTTCAGAATCATGAGATGATTACTCAGGTGACATATATATCTTCTTTCATGCTGAGCACATCCCTTTGTTTGTTTGAACCCAGGACTTTCTGTGTCTGACACGTGGGTGGTTGTCCCTGGAGTAGTGGCTGGTCTTTGTGTAAACCTCTACCTGCTGTTGGTGTGGAGAAGTTCAGCCAGCATTGCATCTAGACAGGGAGGGAGTACTAACTTAGTGACCTGTCTCAACTGCAGCCAACTTAACTGAGAAGACAGTTTGATCCACCCTGACTTGGTAGAGAGAAGAGGTGACCCTAGAGGATTATTGGCCTCTGGACAGAGAAGGGGAGCAAGTACATGCTCTTGACTGTCTTTCTCATCTCTTGAGTTTTATTTTTGAGTACCTCACCCAACAGAGATAAGTTCATGTTATTTGTCAACCCAGTTACTGGTACATTAATATTTACTATACCAGAAATTCATTTTCATCCACTTCCCATTTTCAAAGCTAGCTAAACATTCTGTGTAGTTCAGTTTTAGAAAATTTTGTATACCACTGAGCATGGTGATGGTGAGATGTCTGTAAAGAGAAGCAAAGAGCCTGCACTGCAGCAGGAAAGGTGAGCCATTTGCATGGTTGGCAGTTTGTGCCCAGGGCCCTGGTGGAGGTCCAGGCCCCGCAGTGACCATGGGGGCTGGGGGTTTCTGGGAGGCTAATTGGAGGATTTGGTATTTGAACTGAGCTTTGAAGGAAGGATACAGGCCGAGGTTGGGAGGGTGGAGGAAAAGCAACTCTCCAGCTGTAGGAAATATCATGAGCAAAGGCATGGAGACAGGAAATTGCAAAACGTGCCCAGCAAATCCATGAGTGTGGTTGGGGAGAAGGCTGCAAGAGCTGATGCCATGGCACGTGAGCCAGAATTATGGCTTGGAGGTGGAACTAGGGGGAACTTAAACTTTCCCCAAAGGGTGAAATTTGGGGACCCACCAAGGATTCTGAGAAAAGAGGTGATTGCATGGGAGCTGAGCATTCTCCAGCAGCAGTACCAAGAAGGTGCCAGAGAGGAAGGTTCTTGT